TTTTTTTTAAATAAATTACTTTTTTTATTATTCACTCTTTCTCCTATGAAATTATACATTGGACTAACATATTATTCTGTTGGAGTCCTGGAGTTTTAATATGTATCCCTGATTAATTAAATTCTCCAATAAGTTAATAATTTTGCCAATTCAGGGCAATGCAAAAGATTGCCAGGAATTTCAATATACATTTTAACTCCGTTTGTCTTGGCCATTTTATTGATACTGTGGTCATTTATTTTAATTCTGCATATAATTTAAGTCAAAAAGACATTTATTTTTACTTTTAGCATTTATTTTATTTTCTGATATTGACACTCTGTGGCACACTTCGTTACTTCCCACACTACAGTGTTTCCTCTGGGATTGGTTTTTTTCTGCCTTGAAAACTCCTTTAGCTTCTTCCTTTTGTGTGGGTCTGCTGGCAATGGAGATTCTTGGGTTTTGTTTATCTAAAAATATTTTTATTTTGCATTCAATTTTGAAAGGTATTTATGCTAATTTCAGAATTCAAGGTTGTCAGTTATTTGTTATAAAGGCTTTAATGATCAGGGCACCTGGGTGCGTAAGTCAGTTAAGGGTCCAACTCTTGATTTAGGCTCAGGTCATGATCTCAGGGTTCGGTTCCTGAGACGGAGCCCAGCGTTGGGCTCTGCGCTGACAGCGTGGAGCCTGCTTGGGATTCTCTCCCTCTCCCTCTCTCTCTGCCCCTCTCCCTCTCATGCACACACACACTCAAATTAATAAAGAAAACATGAAAAAATAAAAGAAAAACATTCCTAAAAATCACTGTAGAAAATAACCTACCAAGTTCACACACCTTATGCTATAGGGATTCCATGCAGGGATTTTCCCGTTGATGGCATTTATTTATCTGGAAGGACTACATGTCCTAGTAAAGCAATGCTGAGATAAGGATAAGAAGAGGTGATCCTTCAGTCCCAGAGTTACATACCATATCAATGACTGTTGCAAAGAGAAATGCTAAAGGTAGAAAATAAAGATATTTATGACTAAAAGGAAATTTTATCAAATTAAGGCAACCAAATGTTTTTTAATTGACATCAACCCCTCAGTAATCTTTTATTATATAATTTTAATTTTATTATAGAAATCAAAAGATTTACCATAAAAATGGGAGATTGGAAAATATAATAAACATCGTATCTGATCATTCCTTTAGACATCCTTGTGGATTTTTTCCCAGATGTGTTGAGAAGTAAAATCCCACTTCCTCTGTGAAAATGAAGAAACACAGAATTCTCCACATGTAAACAGCAGCATCAGGAGCAGCACCTGTCCTCACCTGCAGCCCAGAGCTCTGCTACCAGAACATGACTCTGACCAGATCCTGCGTGAAAGCCCCCTACTCGCCCGGACCCCGGCTCATTCTCTACACACTGTTCAGCTTGGGGGCTGTGCTGGCCGTTTTTGGAAACCCTCTGGTGGTGATTTCAATCCTGCATTTCAAGCAGCTGCACTCGCCAACCAATTTTCTCATCGCCTCTCTGGCCTGTGCTGACTTTCTGGTGGGGGTGACCGTCATGCCCTTCAGCATGGTCAGGTCTGTGGAGGGCTGCTGGTACTTTGGGCCAAGTTTCTGTACCTTCCACATGGGCTGTGATGTGGCATTTTGTTATTGTTCTATCTTCCACTTGTGCTTCATCTCCATCGACAGGTACATCACTGTTACTGAACCTCTGGTCTATCCTACCAAGTTCACGGTGTCTGTGTCAGGGGCATGCATCGGCATCTCCTGGATCCTGCCTCTTGTATACAGTGGTGCCGTGTTCTTCACAGGTGCTTATGATGATGGACTGGAGGAATTATCTAGTGCCCTCAACTGTGTAGGAGGTTGTCAGACCATTGTAAATCAAAACTGGGTGTTGATAGGTTTTCTATCTTGCTTCACACCTATTCTTGTTATAATAACTCTTTATAGCAATATTTTTCTTATGGGTAGACAACAGGATAAAAAGGTTGAAGATACTGGGGGCAAAATAGAATTTTCATCAGCTAGTTGATTTATATCCAGAGTGGTTAAGAGAGAGTGAAAAGCAATGAAAACCCTGGGTATCACTGTGGTAGCATTTATGACTTCATGGTCACCGTATAGTATTGACTCATCGATTGATTCTTTTATAGGCCTCATAACCCCTCCCAAAACTTATGAGATTTGCTATTGGTGTGCTTGTTATAACTCAGACATGAACCCTTTGATTTATGTTTTATTTTACCCATGGTTTCGGAAAGCCATAAAAGTTGTTGTGAATGGTTGACTTTTCAAGGACAGTTCAGCTACCGTGAATTTGCTCTCTGAACAAACGTAAACAATTGGACTGGGAAGTAAAAGAAATCTTTACAATTTCTAAATGAAACGAGTTTTAAAAATCAACTAAGGCTATTAATGAGGAGAAAACAAATTACTCTTCAAATGTAATAGGGTAAATGTATTTATGAGTAAAAGGAAATTTTTTTCCACTCGTTAAAATGTGAACTTCCTTGTCACTTCTCCAAAAGCATGTACTTTATTAATAAGTGTTAAATTTTTATTTGCTAACTACCTCAGAGCTCAGCATATCCCACTTTCTAAAAAGATTTTTCTCCCTCATTTCTTTCAGTTCACTGACTCTTCCCTTTGTTCTGATACGTCATCTACAAACATCTTCATTCTTTGATTCACTTTCCTCTTTTCTAAAAAGCTTTTTAACTCTAGCAACCAGTCAAAACTTTCACCTGTGAATTGCATCCCAAGATTCTTACTTTCTTTTGGTTTGCTTCATTTTTGGAGGGAGCCTTTTGGGGAGCAGTTACATGTCTTGGGCTTAATGTCTGAGGAGAGAGATCTGAAATATTTATCTATAAATTGTGTGTAGACTAACACAGCCACTGTGTCTGATTTAGAATTAGTGGAGATCTCTTGGGGGTTGGGGGGCATTTGCAAGCATAGATATCGTTTTGACCAAGCTGTTGTGATGGCCAAACAGATTACTGTCATCTTGTGTAATTATTTCCTCCCCCAATGTAGGAAGCAGAAGCCACTGTACTTCCCGAAACGATGATAGGATGATTATTTCTCTGCTCTTCTCACTACTGCTGTTACAACTCAGAACTGTGTAAATGGTTGGTATGGATAGGACTCTATGCTATGCTCTTCTGTTTAAACTCATTGAATATTACTTTCCCATTCAGGGTAATTCTTTTTTGAAAGCAGTCTTTAGTTCTTTCTTGTCTATAACAAAACTTAATTTCAACAGAAAATTTGCTAGTTTTAGGAGATAAGTGAAATATACATCAATAAAGACACTCACATATTCACCTTGTTTTTCATTTTTGACATATGAACCACATGCCCACATTGTACCAAGTCAGTGCTAGATTATGTAGAAATGGTAATACCATCTTACCTTTATGTTTCAGAATCTGTAACTCTGGCAAGAAGCAATGTTGTTAACTGTGAAAATTTTAAAAGGATAAACACTAGTTCAACTAGATCAAGATTAACATCGATAGTGACAAGTCATGTTGATAGCAGTGTGCCCTTGTCATGATGTGATGAGAATGGCATGTTATTTCAATGTTTTTCCCCCAAAAAACCTATAACCTCAGTGGAATCATGAGAAAAATCATTACACAAACCCTCATAGAGGACTATCCTACATAATGCCTGACTAGTGCTTCTCAAAACTGTCAAGGTCATAAAAAATAAGGGATAAAAGAAACTGTCAAGGTCTAGAGGAGCCTAAGGAGACATAACAACTAAATGTAACGTAGTGTCCTAAAGGGGAACTAGAACAGAGGAAGGACATAAGGAAAACCTAAGGCAATCTGAATCATGCTGGACTTCTTACTGATACATTAATAAAAATATATCAATGTTGGTTCATTAATTGTAAGAAATTTATGATACTAATCTAAATTGTTAATAATAGGAGAAATGGGGTGTAGGGTATAGAAACTCTCTGTACTATCTTTGCAGCTTTCCTGTAAATTTAAAATATTCTAAAATAAAATGTTTATTTTTAAAATATAGAGCACACAATTATGTGAGGACAGTGAGCATTGATCCTTATACTACTGATTCATTGATCCATTTCACAAATACCTTAGAAAACTTAGCATTCTGGGTTCTGGTTCAGAGCTTTAGGAATACAAAACAAAAACCTGAGACTATCTTATAGAAAAAAAATGGTATATCAACAATTTTTATGGTTTGGAATGCATGGAAGTTTAAATGATAAAAGATGTGTTTGAGAAGCACGAAAGAAAGGAGAACTTGGCTTCTCGAAGCAAGATCAGGGAGACTTATTAAAGAAGTGGCACTTAAGCTGGGCCTTATGAGATTCAGAGATTTTGCAGGAGGGAAAGGATGGAAATGGATTTTCAGGCTGAAGGAATGGCATGACCAAAGAAACTGAGAAAGTGCACAGAGTATTCAGGAAATACGGAGATAAAGCAGCTAAACAACTACCAAGGGAGTCGTCACCCTTTTGACCTCCCTGAGGTTGGCATTCAAGCCCCTCCACCTCTTCCTCTCCCTCCGTCTTCCCAGGCATCCCCCACTTTAATTTGGAGGCATTCTTACCTCCACTGCTCTGCTCAGGTTTTGACTCCTCTGATTCTCATTGTCTTCTGAGCCAACATTTCCCAAATGAGGTTTTATCAGACAGTCATCCTACAAAATGCTCCAGGGGAAAGAAATTCCTGCATCCCCAACGTTTTGGAATTGCTGCATACAATAGCCTGCTCTTGGAGAATAACACTAGACATGACAAAGTAAAGACTCCGAGAAGTCCTGTTTCAACAAAAACCTGTTTAACATCGTTTAAATATGCACATAAAAATTATTTATGCAGAGTTCCACCTTGTGATATAGCAGAGCGTCCTTCTAGGACAGACAGTGCCATACTCAGTGGATTGTGAAGAGGTGTGGATTTATCTCTAAGAAGAGGAAAATGTGGTTTTAAAATTTTTTTTTAATTTATTTTTGAGAAAAAGAGAGACAGGAGACAGAGAGAGAGAGAGACAGAGACAAGAGTATGAGCGGGGGAGGGGCAGAAAGAGAGGGAGACACAGAATCTGAAACAGGTTCCAGACTCTGAGCTATCAGCACAGAGCCTGACACGGGGCTCGACCTCATGAACTGCAAGGTTATGACCTGAGCTGAAGTCGGACACTTAACCAACTGAGCTACCCAGGTGCCCCAAAAATGTGTTTTTTAAAGTAATGACTGATTTATACTTTGCAATTTTTATTTATTCCTATATCTAAGGCACAGTGTTCCTTGATATCTCAAAATTGCATATATTAGAATAAATTGTAATTTATAATTCTTTTTTAATTTAATTATGTAATAATACCAAAAAGTTAATTGGAAAAGAAAGAATAATTACTTCGAAAGAAAAAAGAAGCATTAAAAAATACATCAAAAAATATGTTTATAATAAATACTTTTTTTGAGAGAAAAAGAGAGAGCATGAGTGGGGGAGAGGGGCAGAAGCAGAGAGAGAGAGAGAGAGAGAGAGAGAGGATCTTAAACAGGCTCCACGCTTAGCATGAAGTCTGACTGGAGACTCCACTCAGGGATCATGACCTTAGATGAAATCAAGAGTCAGATACTCGATCGACTGAGCAACCCAAGTGTCCCTACAATAAATAATTTTTTAATTAAGAAAAACAATAAAGTCAATAAAAGTTATCTCTCTAGCCAGAAAGGAAGGAAGGAAGGAAGGAAGGAAGGAAGGAAGGAAGGAAGGAGGGAAGGAAGGAAGGAGGGAAGGAAGGAAAGGAAATGAATTCATTTCAGTTAACTTCCATGACAAAATAAAACATTACTTTTTTATTTATGGAGATTGATTGATTTATGTTCATATATATATTACATCTATCTATATGTTTGTACTTTGGAGACCTCAAATTAACTTACAAATAAGTTTTCCAAATCAGCAATTATTAATTTGAAAAATAGTCAGTAAGAAATGTGGGAGTTATTAGAGACCTGTAGGAAAAGATTTAGGAAGAAAACAGAGGCAAAATGTACATAGAAGATGTCAATACCTTTACTAGTAATAGATCCTAAGAAACACTTGGTTCAGTGTTGAACAAGCATGTGGCTTAAGTACTTGTATTTCCAAAGAAAATCATATACTGGTGTCCCTGGAAAGATAGTAGATCTAACTTAGGTAATTTTTTTTTTTTAAAGGAAAAATATTACAATGGCCAGATGTGGATCATTATCACTTTACAAACATTTCACCATTTCCAAGTTTTAATAATTAAAGAAAAGCGAGAAAATATTCCTTCAAGAATACAATACATTTACTCAGTGATCATTGAAATGGACAAACGTAGTTTACAATCCTGTTTAGGGAGACAGGGATTCTAAAGAGGACATTTTGAAAAAGAAACACTCCCAACACTTGACTACAATTATGAAAAGTGATGTCAAACAGCGTTTTCCAAAGTTAAATTATTATACAATATTTGAGCTTCAGGTTACCTGAACAAACAGTACAAAACCCTAATTTTCCAGCTGTAACTCTGAGATGGGGAGAAATTCAAAGGTTGTCAAAATAGTCTCACCCAAGCACTGCCAGGAGGCAGAACCAGTGTGAGAACTCAGAAATCTCCACCTCACGCTCTTTTCTCTCCACCTCTGTATCTCAGTCTCAAGGAAGTGATAACAAGGAGCCAAATATTTTCACAGAAGTTTAACGCAGCCAATAAATACTTGGTTGATTTCATTCCCTCCTTTTCTACAGAAACATTGAATAAAGAGAGTGCTACATTCTACTACAGAAACATTGAATTAAGAGAGTACTATATTTCTTTTCGAATTAAGAGGTTGTTTTTTCTCCTCCACTTAAACCACGGTGCCCTAAAAGCATGCCCACAAACTCATGACACCGCCCCTGCCACAGAGCCCTCATCCTTCCTGCAGGGACCTACCCTTGCCTGCATTCAAAGAAGTCACTCTTGGTACAAGTCAATAGTGGGTGTCCGAGGTGAGAAGATCTCTCGACTCAGGCAGAGTTTCAGTGCCTTTCTGAACCACCGGTAGGAGAAGACATAGATGATAGGGTTGCAGGCCGAGTTGAAGTAAGCAAACCAAATAAAGATGTCAAAGACCAGTGGCGGTGTGACGAAGTTAAGGAGGCTGTCAACCAGCGTGTCAATGGTGAAGGGAAGCCAGCACAAGAGGTATATGCCCACGGCAATGCCGAGGGTCTTGGCAGCTTTTCTTTCACGTTTGGCAGCCCCAGCCAGGTTTTTGCTCAAGGTGTTGATCTGCTGAGACTGCCTGATGGCAACCACAAAAATCTTCACGTACAAGCTGATCATGATGAGGCAGGGGAAGAAGAACATAGGAAAATTTAACCAGCCCCAAAACTTATTGAAGAGCAGTTGGCAACTGCCCACACAAGGCATCTCTTCCAGCCACTGACTGAGCGCATTCTCTACTACATCTGTGTAGAGGAAGAAGGCAGTGTAAGCTGCTGGAATCCCCCACCCTGCAAGAATGTACCTGATGGCCACCCTGACTGTGAACTTGGAGGGATAGATCAAGGGCTCACAGATGGCACAGTGGCGGTCTATGGAAATGAAACAGAGGTGGAAGATGGAGGTGAGGCAGAAGAGGGTATCCAGATAGGTATGCAGGCGGCAGAGGAAGTCTCCAAGGAACCAGCAGCTCTCCACTGAGCGAATGGTACTGAGAGGCAGCACTAACAGACCCAGAAACATGTCAGCCAGGGCCAAGGAAAGCAGCAAGAAGTTAGTGGGGGTGTGAAGCACTTTGAAGTAGGACACAGCAAACACCACAAACAAATTTCCTAGGACCGTAATCAACATGCCTACTGCACCGGCCAGGTAGATGGCCAACCGGATGCCCAGAGGATGGACTGTCCTGGGGCAAGATCCATTCACCTGGTAGCAGAATGCTGCGGGGTGTTCTTCAGCACCTTGGTTGAGGACAGCACTCATTTATGGTTCCTACTCTTCCTTTCTCTCTGGGAACTGGCCACCTGTACCACCCAAAAAACAAACAAACAAAAAAACAACCCCCCCAAAAAACCACAAAACAAAACAAACAAACAAA